AACATACGAGCATCGGCTATCGAATTGGAAATTTTTTTTTTTTTTTTTTTTTTTTTTTTTTTTTTGGCAACCCACCGCGTAAAAGTGGAAACGACGCGTAATTTATTTCCGCCGCCGAGTGGATGCCCTTGGCATGTGCGCCGCGTGTTCGCGTAAAAACCGTGGGGGAGGGGAACGGTGGTGGTGGTGAAAAAAAAACAATTTCGCTCGTATATACCGAATTGGGTTCGGCGATAATTTAAGCCGCCGCCTTCGACACTGCACGTATCGGCGATTAATGGCGTATCGATCCGCCGTCGCCGTGTATACGCATTTCCTCGTGTTTGTGTTTGTGTTTTTTTTTTTTCGTCACCATCTAATCGCGAGTGTAGACAATAACGGAAAAAGGATAAAGGATAATGATATATAGGCGTTTATAGCGGGAAATATGGCCGAATACAAAAACGCCACAGGGCAATATGATCGGACATTTAGAAATAAAAATATTAATACTTTCTACGGCCATTATTGCCGATTGTCCCGTCGGATATAACTGGAAATATTCGCGGAACACGTGTTTCATAATGCATTCGCTTGATTCACGTCGCGGATATTATTTTATTCGGGGGGTGCTCGCGGATCCGCGACAGCGTTTACCGTTTGGCATATTAATGTCCGTGCATAATTCATAATCGTTCGTGCGACGTTACGACACAGAAACGCGTCAGTAGTACACGGTACAGTGACGCGTTGTTGTTATGCGCACCGGTGTTCGGGCGACCCTGCGTCAGGCGCGTATCCCGCGGTACGGCACGGAAAAGCCGCCGGTACGGTGATAAGCCGGAGGAAAAGGAGGGGGTGGTGGACGGAGGAGGACGGAGACGAGTACGCGAGAATCACCCGTCCCCCCCCCCTCCGGACGTTATTAATGCCTTGTCGCCCCCAATATATTATAACAGGGGGACACACGTCTCGTCCCGACCTACCCTACCGCGGCGGCGGCGTCGAAGACCTATTTATCTTTTTCCCCGCGTAGCAGCGCCAGCGGCGGCAGAAGCTTAATGCTATTTGTCCGCAGTCGTGGCGGCGGCGGCGGCGGCGGCGGCGGAGGCGGTAGTTAATTATAAGGGATCCCATCATTAACAGATAACCAAAAAGCAAGTCCCTTCCTGCGCCGTCCCTTTTGCCCCGTTCCCGTTCCCCCACGGCTCGGCCGCTGGCGTTTCGGTAAAGCCATCAATTACCGCGCGCACGCCCCGCTGCGCGGGCCGTCGTATTATGCGGCCGCAGAAACTTTGGTCGCAGAGTGCCGCGGTAGACGGTTGCGGTTACGGCGACACCGGCGACGACGACGACGACGACGAATAATGAACTTAAATGTATACACAATGATACGTATTATAATTCCGTACATATCGCGCGGGCCCGAGAGAGAATGTCCGGGCACAGGATTTACGAGCTTCTTCCCGCGGACGTTCGAGAATTAACCGTCGCCCCTCGTTTGTAATATTATAATACGTATAAGGTCTTCAGTTACCGCGCGGTCCTATTGTTGTGCCGCAGTGGCGGTTTCAAACCCGAAACGCACAGCGCAACAGTTTCCTCTCCGCGGGAAAAAAATCCACTGGAAATCCTCGAAAACGCCGCAGAACGTAACCGACTGCGCGACGAGGTCCTCGCGCTGCTGTGTTCTCGCCCCGTGGCCCGGGCAAAATATCACCGGCGAGGCGGCAGATTTCCGAAGCGCCACCTATCGCAACAGACGCGAACAACAGAAACGATGGTCGTTACGAGTTGGCCGTTTTTAGTTCCGTCGCTTGTTAAGAACCATCGATCAATTCGCTTTATTATTTATATTGTTTCAGACTGTCGACGATTAATGGTCGAAAATATTATCCTACGGCGACAAAAGATGTTTTGAAAAATGTATCCGACATTTAATACTCAATAAATACTAAGTGTTTTCGTATAGAAAATGTTTAAAAATAAAACTAGCTCGTCTTTTTTTTTTCCGTCGATTATTTCTTAATTTCACAATAAAGGTAGAACTTGACAAAAAAAAAAAATTGCGATTCTACCTTATTTTTTCGAAATAAACATTACAACATTAATAAAATGTTGGCTTTAGCAAAAAGTATAAGGCAATAATTAGCGCTGTAATGAAGATACAATACAATTTTTCGTAATATTAAAATGTAAGAAATCATTCGTCGAAAACCAAAAATTGTGATTTTTTCATAAACTTTGAGCTTTGAGCGCCTTGTTAATTAGGCCCAATCGAGTTCAAATTTTAAGGAACCTATTTTTAGATGTATTGAAAGATTTTTCAGGCCGACACTCCTTTTTTATATTTATATTTCTATTAGACCAATATTAAAATCAACAATGTTGAATAAATCAAAATAATGATTCAAATTCCGGATTTCTAAAATCTTTAGTCTTTCTGTTTATAAAGTCATCGTATACGATTTATTAATAATAATTTTATAATTATTTTTGAATAACGAAATCAGATTAAGAACAAATCTGTAATTGAAAATCACCTTTCAAGAGAACAATTATGAAATAATGGACATAAACTACGTAAAAAAAATATGATTTTATATATTATCATAACATAAAAATAGATAGTTGCTTTGACTTCTAAATACAAGTATATTTAAATCGGATGCAACAAATTTAGATCTTCAACATATTGAATTCGACAGTAAATTTCAACATCATCGGTTGATATGTATAATATATTAGCATACGCATATCTGTGATTGAAACATAATAATATCAGGACCTAGAGAATTATAAAAAAAATCGGAGAAATATTAAGTCCGGGAGGGAGCAGCCCGGGCTCCTAGGATCTGTCCCCGGATGATGTGTATTCAGACGCAAATTTGAAATTCGAAAACGACGAAAATTACCGTTCGGTTACGTATATTCCGAACAACACTCAATAATGAAATTAAAAATAATAATAATAGTATCCGTACGATACCTATATGCTGTTTATTTGATTAAGTTAAAAATCGTATAGGTAAACTGTACCTATAATATTATACTTTCGTATAGCTTATAATAGATTGCCTATATAATTGTATCGTAACGATAAAGTACGCTGGTGTTTTGCCGGTGGGCTCTGTTGTACCTATGGTAGTGAGGTATAGTGCAGACCGCGAATTAAGATATACAGGATACCGACCGGAAAGGTCTTATCAATGTTTTTCCGAGTCCGACCGGTTCTCAATATTTGGCATGGCAGCTAGCGCTTTAAGGAATATTTGGTATAAGTTTGACCTTTACTTATCACACGTTCGTTCGGTACCCTGTATATCTTAATTCATGGTGCAGACTAAAATGCGGAATACACGTGATGTTACAGCAGTATTGATTTTGGATTTTCTATGAAAATACACCACTGGCATGGGTGACTGTTAACAAATATTATAATTTGCACTGCCTTTTGAAAAATCTCCGAGCACCACTGCTTGTGCCTAAAACTATATTAATATACCCATACGTTATGTTAAACTGTTTAACACGATTTTTATATTTTTGAACCGTAGGTATTTATGGTATTTTGTCTGTCCGCTACGGAAGTTATTTTTCTTAATGTTTTTTTTTTTTTTTTTTATAATAACGAAAAACGATTATATTGAAATCGGAACTATCGCATTTCGCATTCATGCTCTCGTCTATTTATAAACGCACGAACGTATTTATAAATACTAAATACGCTGTTATAACACGAATGATTGGTAGATACCTAAAACTTAACATCAAAAGTGTCCGGGTTTTGAGTTTAAGTCCGCGGAACGCTGGACGTTCGGTCAAAACGATAGTATGAAATATTTATTACGCCGGTCGCCGTAGCGACGACCGTTCTTAAAAAAAATAACACGGATGTCATTGCTGGTTTGAAATAATTCTATCGGGAGTACCGTTGGCTAGTTAAATACACAAACAAATCAACTGTTGCTTCGTGGATACGGTCGCCGGTAAAGTTAACGAGGGCCCGGCAACCGAGTAAACAACCTTAGTGTGCGATCCGAACAAATAGGTAAGAATAATATCAATTAAGAATATCAAATTTAAAATTCAATATACCTAATGGTATAGTTTTTGTTTTTGGTTTGGTTTTTTTTTTTAGCCTTTTGATTCTACTGCACATTCGTGCGCGTCATCGTCTCTTCGTGTATCTTCCAACACTATGATCAACATGATGTTCACCGTAGTTTCGCTAATAGAGAGCATGCTTTTCACGGCGATCTTGATGTTACTGGTACTGTGTTGGCTAAGCGAAGCAAATACGAACATTGCCGTCGAAGTGTGGAACGCAATCGTTCTAATAAGGTACGCGCGTATATCCGAAAAACCGTTTTTTACGTTGTTTTTCGTCCATTTTTAAAACGAGTAATCGGCGTCTTGCATCGGGCGAGTCTGTGCCGATGGCGAATCGCGCCTCGTCATCGTCACTCGTCGGCGAATAAAGCCGACGACCGTGGTGCGCCTTTGCCGTCGCTCGCCGGCTGTTTTCCTACGAGAAATATACGCGAACAATACCGTTTCCCGCGTCCACGACTGAGCCGGATTTTTATTCGGATTTTTATTGCCCGGNTTTGCTACGTCAACTATCTAGGTATATAATATACATTTTTAGTGGGTGTCTAATGACCCATAATCTACGTGCGTGAAATTTGTCACTGGCCGGACCGTTGCCTTCAAACTTTACCTGTACAAGTAAACTACTATTCGAAATTTCGATGATCCGACAAGAAATGAACGGTTTAGTAATGATATTACCCCGAAAAAATATAGCGTCATTAAAATATATGTTATAAAATACAGAAATTTATATTGTTTTTTTTTTTTTTGTCTAATACCCTTCTGTGTTACACGAGAGAAAAAATCAAATTTAATTTATAATATAATAATGAAAACTTATACATGTTTCTAAACGGAAAGTTCGATCTCTATTGTCCGGGGTTTACTTCGAAAATACCTGCTCGATTTGCGTCCTTACTAATTATATATATGATAATATTTTAAGTGTGTTAGAAATTATTTTAATACATATTAGATTTATGATTTTTAAATTTAATTACAGGAACGTTTTTCAAGTGATAATAAAAGACGAGTACACTACGGGCAAAAATCAGGATCCGGATGTCGAAGAACCCGAATCAGCGGATTCTTCCGGTAATCGAGCTTGTCATCAAGCTTCGAGTTCTTTGGCGGCTGACCTCATTTCGCCGTCGTTCCCCCTCTACGTTTGGTCTTCACAGCCAGGAGATAATGCCGCCCAAAGTATCGGTAAATATACATTCTAGGATAGACTTCTGTATAAAAATTATGAAAAATACCTACCTGCATCCTAATAATTTATTTTTGATTTGATGTAGACGAATCCTGCATGGAGAGCATAATTCAAGTGGTTAATTTGACAATTAGAGGGGCCCAACCCGTCGAAAAATCTCTAAAATATTTTCAATTTATTTTATTTGGTTTGAATATGGGCGAGGTAATAATACTATCGATATTCGTTTTATGTATTTATTTTTATTCGTCTTAGATCATAAAGGAGAAAAAAAAATGTATATGTTACAATGCTACAAGTTATGTAATTTAAAAAATTTAATTATTTAAACATTTCGCAGCAAATGTATAGGCGTATTTATTGTCACTTGCATGATCAGTTGGTTTGGTGGTATTATCGTGTTGGCGATTCGGAATTGGAGATTGTTGGGAAACTTTATGGAGGGTTTATAGTCCTAGGGATGAGACTGTAAGTGGTTTTCTAAGGTTTTAGTAAAAATAGTTACACTTATAAGTTAGATTGCGTAATATGTGTTTTTTTTTAGCAATTTATCGGACGATTGGAAACCGAGTGCTAGAATGGTTTTAAACCATTTAGAAAATTATGATATTTTATATTTAAACTTCGCCCGATCCGCGTTCAAACAATTAAATCAAGATTTACCGCAGAAGTATTCACATCTAATCAAGGTATGTTTCAAAAAAATAAAAAATTACGGTTAATGTATTATTTTATACTCGTACAATTTCTTAGAATATTTCATCGAATTAATATTCGATTCACAGATTAAACAATATAGCAAATAATAATATAGTAGGCAATGGAATAGCCAATAAGTATCGCAAAGTATCATTTACGTATCAGAAACTCGCGGCATTTACAAAACTCAAATAAGAATTACTTGACGATCACTACCATCATATTATGTTGTTAAAATATGGTGGTAGGTAACACGTGAAAAAGTAGAAGAAAACTGAGATTTTGGTACGGCGGAATGACTGTCGCGATAATTTCTTGCTTATATATTATACTTGGCTACTGCAAAATACGCATCTCAGGGGACTGCAGGCGGTGGTTCTGGTGAATTTTTACGATATTACATATACCAAACATACCGTAGGTGTAGGTAGCTAACGATAAGTAATAAAATTTCAAAAATAAAATTATTTATCAATAAATAAATAACCATTTTGTGTTAGTGGAACTGTACAAATTGTCTCACAAACGATATTATCATAACCAAACGTACCTAATATTTAATGTGCGTACTTATATTTTCAGGAAATGATCGATAAGCCGCGGATAAACGCCATACGAAAAGAAAAGCCTATTGTCCTGCCGTCCTATGCTTATAGCTATGAGTATTTGTGAAATAACGTTTATACGTTAGTTTTCTTTAAATTATTGTTTGTTTAGTTGATTACTTTGATACGATTTTTTTTTTTTTTTTTTACTTTTTTTTATACCTTTGATACCAAAGTTCAATTTGGCCAAACGTTAAACGAAGATTGAAATCATGAGAACCCATATTATGTTATTTTTTTTTTTTTATTATTGTTTTTGTATTTGATTACTTTGTTTGTTACATTTTTTTTATACCTTCGCTACTGCAGTCAAACGTACAATTATATTATTATTTTTTTTTTTTATTTGATTAATTTTTGTGATACCTTCTTGTACCTTTGTTATTAAACTTTGTTAAATATCTGAATCGTGTTACATCTATTCGTGTACACATCTATTCGTGTGTTGATTTTTGGAAATGTTTTGATTGATTTCAATACTAAAACAATACTAAAAAGTAGGGTTCATGAAGCTACAATGTAGCTGCTACATAATTTTGACGTTGAAATGGAAAACTGCATTATGTGCTAAAACTCGACTTTATAGGAAATACGAAAAACTTTATGAAAAAATCAAAGGTATACCGATATATTAATATGTATAACGATAAGTATAATCGTGATAAGATAAATATGGTATAACTTGTGATAACAGTATGGTAATAATGTCGAAAGTGGACGTGACCTAAATGGTCTATGAAGTGGTGGACAATTCGGGTGGCCATGTATTGGGTATAGCACTTGATCCTGGCGTCTGCGCCTGGGGTAAGACTCTCCTTTTTATACTACTTACAGTATATATCTTTTACATATATGTATCTATTTTGTATTCTAAATTATCGTCAACACAATTTATCAAACATTAGAAAATTAAGTTAAAAAATTACCTATGGACAATTAGCATTTATACTAGCAAAATCATTTATAAAGCTGTACAAATCTAGTGACATCGAAAATTTTACTATTTTGGTATCTATTCAATGAAGCTATAATTGCATTTGAACGGTCCTATTTAATTCTGGATCTTAAATGAATCGCTAAATGTGAAAAGGTCGCAAATTCAAATAATAAAATTTTTCAAGAAACTTCTTTAACCCCCTGAAAAACTTATAAACTTCTCCTTAAAAACGTATAGACTATATCTAGATCTGTACTATATAACTATCAGTTATAAACATAGAATTTTTTTATTCATTCATTAGGAACTTTTTATATCCTTTGGAAATATTTGACACTATGATCTACATCAGCGGTTCTATACCTTTAATAGATCACGGACCCTCGATAAAAGATTTTTAGAAATCGCGGACCCCTTACTAATATTTTTTCGAATAACTTTCTTTTTTCTTTCATCTCATGTTATCATAACCAAAATTATAAAATTCAAACGCTTTTTCCAACGATTGTGATTCGATATAAGAAAAATCCGATCAGTTGTCACCGACTTGTTGTAACCTCCTGTAACCTACCTGACGTGGTTTTTCCAATTTCCTCTGATTTGTATTTACGCCCTACGTATAGTTTGTCGTCGACTATTAGGTTCTCGGTTTACACTTAGGCCATTTACTTTTTCGGAACAATATCGGGTTTTAGATCAATAGGTTAGGTTAGGTTTTCGTTTTTTTTTTTTGACATTGTTTAATATTTTTGTTTTTTCTTCCGAAATTTCGGGAAAATCGGCACAGAGGAAGGAAAGACATAATTTTCTCCTTCGGTGTGGTTTCGCGTACTAATAAAAATCGACACGGTTATTTTCGTTGAACTCGTGATAATAACCCGTATGGAGCTAGACGAAAGACGGGAAAATAGCAGACCTCGTATATAATGATATCTTGCAGCATTCCCCATATCATATTGGCTACAAGGCTCGTAATATTATATTGGTTATTAATACGTTAGATAGAATTCCGTATTCTCGGTCAAAAACCTCGCTGGAGTATTCGTTTACTACCACGGTGGGCAGAACAAAAAATAATAATAATAAACACGAAAAATATAATATTTAATAATATAAAGGGGCACAGGCCGAAAATTTCCTCTACGTGTGGTGCACATTTAACGAACGGCCTTTCCGTAATGGCGACCATGTGTGTAAATTACGTCATAACGCGTGTAGGCGGATCGTGCGACGATGTTGGCCATTTAAAAATGCCACCGTAATAGCCGCACGCGTCGTATAAACTTTATACTATAAAGTATTCCCGTCGAAAAGTGTGTTGTGCAATAATATGGCTGCCGTTGGATCAAAATTACGACGAGCGCGATATTCGTAAATAAAAATGACAATTTTTTTAAAAAAAAAATAAAAAAATATTATTCTAGATTCTGAACGAAGCGAGGTACATTTTGGTTTTACTAAATGTGTGTGTGGTTTTTTTTTTTCTGTCTGTAAACAATTTGTCTATCAGAAATATGACTCCGGTTTTCAACTGTAACATTTATTTTCTGAAAGCAAATTGTATCTGTGCGTTGAATAGGTTATGTTTACGAATGTATCGGTTTGTCTATGACGAATGCTTTTAACCTTTTATTATAGTTTGTTGTATTTAAGATTCTGGCGGGGAACGTATTGGTTTTACACGATGTGCAATTATTATATTATTAATTTGTTCCAATTCCATTGTTGTTCGCCGGAACTATCGCAGTCTCAGTTGGGAGCCTTTTCACGTGCGTGGTACAGCGTCACTCTGTGGGGACGGTGGCGACTTTAGAGCGGAAGTACTGTTCCTCCCATCAGTCGTGGGAACGTTTGCTGTTGATATTGCCAGTATTCACGAATGGTTTCCATCATTTCGTCCTGCGTTATTTCCGTTTAAGATTGTCCGAAGGTTGTCGAGTCGCTTAACGCGCGACCCGAGATGGTTCCGTGGCAGAGCACAATATTTCGAATGGGTCGCGCCGACGTTGCGCTGTACTTGAAGACGCGGACCCAAAGTAAAACGTGTACGCGCCCGTTTTATGCAATACAACCGTCAGATCCGCCAACTGCTTAGCGCTGATTGGTTTCTCATAGACCAAGTCCGTGATTCAGCGTCATAGAAATGAGAATTATTTTTGAGGAGGGGTCTTTAGAAAGTTTGAGCTTTCAACACCCCCGGCGGTGGTCTGTTTTCACGTGATCAAAACCACTTTACCTATTTCGATAGAATCGTTTCGGTTAAATTGCTCGGTATTGCGAAAAACGAAACCGCGGAATATTGCGACTGCAACAAGTCAGCTCGGGGGAAAATCCGACCCTACATTTACGGAGCCTTACTGCGCGGACCGCCCTGTATATGCGGCGGGTGGGCTTACCGCGAGTGACAGCACAACGGCGGCGGCGGCGGTGACGCGTGAGTCACGCGCCGTCTCGGGCGACGTGTTAAATGGCTCGGCCGTTAATCTTACCGAATCGGTTATTAGCGCGCGCGAGAAAAAGCCACGGCCCGCGGGGATGATGGGGACGCGGCGCGGCGGCGCGCAAACAATACGATGAGATCCCCGGGCGGGCGGCGGGCGGCGGCGGCGGCGTGATAAACGAACCCGTTAAACCGAGTGACGGTCCCTCTCTAGCCCCGGCCGCGTCGGAAATATCGCAGTGACGCCGCCGCCGCCGACGCCGTTGTTCTCGTATATTTTGTTTATTTATACGGTTTTTTCCCGGTAACGTTTTCCCTGTCTCCGTTCTCTCCCCGCGTTTTTCGGATCATCGCGCGCGGCTTTTGCGGGCCCACCCCGCGCCAACGTAAAACATTATAATAATATAACACCGCAATCTGCCTGTGCGACGGGCGGCCGTCGTCGCGACCGATTCGTTTCGTGCCGCCGGGCAAATCCCGTTACGCGACTCGTTCGAGCTTATACGGGGCGTGACAGGACCGCGCGACATTTTTCACGCGCAGCTATAACGCGACAACGGCAAACGGCCCCGTTACATTCCGTACACGTAATTTGCATTTGCACGCCCGGTTGGCCGGAGTCGACGTTCGTACCGGCGCGCAGTCGCAAATCCCCTGCGGCCCGTCTAACGCGATCCGTTCACGGGTAACAACAAAATAATCGCGAAACTTTTTGCGATTTTTTTTTTTTTAAATTTAAACCGGTTGTTCTTGAAAGAAAAACTTCGCTGTACGAACCGTACTTGTCGTATACATACACTTCGGCGGTCGCGCTCAAAACTTTACGCGCCGGAATAACGAGTGGGAGTCCCGGCACTCCTGCGGCGCACTCCTCCGTGTCATATCGGGGTTTATTTTCTCATTATTTTCGGACGGCTTCCCGATATCACACGGTGTTTTAATTTTTAACTCTCTACTTGTCACTTGGTACAAACAAATAATTAAACACCTTTGTGAAACCAATGCGTTCTTCGCTACGCACAGAAACGCTAGAAAAATACACGAGAAATCGACAAACCGACCTCCTCGATGCGGTAACCCGATAAAAAAAAAACACTATAATAAGACAGTTCCGATAAGGTCTTCCTCCGAACGATAGGTGATTTCCGATACAAAATGTGTTCGAAGAAACGAAAAAAAAAACGGACTCGCGGAGTTTTTGCCGGGCAACCGACGATATGACGTCGTATCTGTAACGTCATATTACACTTTGGTATATTACGAACAAAAATATCGAAAATTGCATTTTTCACGCTGATCACTCGTCCTGATTAATACTGTTATGCGTATTACGTATTATTATTATAATACTAATTTATCGACTTATCGTCGTCATGACCATTGGTACTTATTAATTTATTATACGTGCGTGCGCACGTGCTTTTAAGATCCGCGAAAGAAATAAAACAAACGACAACCAGGAAATATTATAAATATTCCGTTCGAGTACTGTGAATGCCCGCAAGATTTATTATGCCTGTATTAATACATCTCGTTGTTTCGCAGTGTATTAAAACCACGCCATAATAATACAAGGTTCATCATAATAATAATAACTTTGTTTCAGAAGTATAGTACAGTGCGTAAGAATTTTCTTTTTTACAGAATATTTTCTGACCCAATCTCTTAGAGCATTTGTTTTAGGTTGGACGAGTCATTCAAAAAAAAAAAAAAGAGAGAGAAAGAAAAAAAATGACCGTAAGGTAAATATTATAAACAATTAATAATAACGTGTCAAAAAGTAACAATGTATTCATACAATATGTTAAATCAAACACCTATTGTTCAATATGCATGTGTGAGTTAATTTAAACTTTTAGTACACATCTTAAATTTACCTAATGTTTGAAATAATAACTCGATTGAATAGTTCTAGGAACAATAAAACGTACATAATTATAATTTGCAAACACATTATTATAAAATTTTAAATAATATTATAAACTTAACGCACAACCAAGCCGTACTTACAGATATTTAATCGCTGAAAGTTAGGTTGGACTGGTTATGTGCTGTGGGACTTATTGTACTTAAAAAAAACATCAAAAGAGCCCTTAAAAAGTATTTAAAACGCGAAAATAGTAGGAGCGTATAAAATTTCGGGGGGAACTTTTATAAAGGGGGGGGGCTCTTTTGGATCCTACTCTTTAAATACAATTCAGAGCCCTTAGAGGGGGAATTTCTCTCTACCATTTTTGGAATTTAGTACTTTAAGTACTTTTTGGACGTTTTTATGTACATAAAGTCCCGAGCTCTGCCTAGAATACCCTTCATAATGCAATTGATTACTATTGATTACTATTGATACTATTAACTTGTTCAGGCCTATTAAAAGTAACAAGGACAACCGTGACTGTAACTAACATCACTCTATTTATAGCGGCGATTGTAATTATTGATAACTTTTATACATATAGATTTCTAAAAAAAAAAAAAATGATTCATTATTTAACAAAAACAACACGTAACGACTAATTAGAGAAACTACACCACAATGTTTAGAGGGGGACGCCCTTAAACGCTACCACTACTTATCCACTAATTCGATAGTGCGACGAGTGTAACCTTGTAAGTTCTGGGGTTAGGTTGAAAAATCATAATTAAATAATAGAAAAATGAAACAAAATTTTTAGAAAAATCGTATAATAAAAAAAAAAAACAAAAACCTGTACATTTTTAACAGTTGTAGACATTTGAACATATAACCTCGGTAAAGTTCGGGGCGATTTTTTTTTTTTTTTTTGTAAGAAAATCGATAAAAAGTAAACTAAAATTGCATCTCTGAGCGACCGCACAATAATTATCATAAAAACTGAGGAAACGCTCAATATCCCTACCTTAATTTTTTAAGACCATGATTATGAATTAAGCACCTATCTATAAATATATTAATTATTTATGGAATTTCGTTACATGATTGTATAGGTAAAACGATTAAAACATTTTTATCGTTCAAGAATTTGTACTTATTTACGACCTACTCGCATACTTATTGTAAAACGACACTCATCAAATCGATTATCTACAAATACTAGGTAAATACGTTATTATCTTGTTCCTATTATAAAATGTATATTTTTAAACGCGTTTTGTCCCCTCCCCCCCCCTCCCCCTTAAAGAATATCACGCTCTTCTGTTTTGTAAACTACAATCATAAACTAAACCTTATGGCTTACATCGGTACACAACGGGAGTGTTTATTTTTTTATGTCAGAAAATAATTTTGTCTATTTGCTACATTTAGTACCTGTAGATAATATAACAGCCGTACCTACGTGTAATTTTTTATTTATCCGCGGGCAATAAAGCCGTAAGTCGTCTGTGTTTAAAGTCACGAGCGATCGTATTACAATATTGTGTACTATAAATGGATTTTAGTTAATATTTCGTTATCGGCGCGTTTGACGGTGTTGTCGAGTACTTCACTCGGCACAATGTAGGATATTTATCGTTTTATCGTTATAAAGTTGCGTTTAAATTTATCGAATGCCTCCGAAATTACAATCATATACGTAACAACGCCGAGATTATGAATTGTGATATTTTTTCGGTCGAATTTCAGTTGAAAAAAAAAAAAAAAAATGCCGTTTTCTTCTATACATTTTTGATATTACGGTGTTATGAAATTATATTGTGCATTTTATTTAATATATAATATAAAATACATTGTTCTTATACGATGATTTTTTAAAATAATTTTTCCGTATACTAGTCGGCGAGTTTAAAAAAATATATACATTTATTTTCAGTATTGATTTTTAAGTGTTTTTTAACGTACAGTTCTTCCGACGTATGTTTACCAATAGTTTCGGACTTTTTCGCTTTTCGTCACATAAATTCAAATGCAATTATAATATCAACACGAAGAAAATCCCACCTGTCCACTACGTCCTCGTGGTATATGATGATGACTCGTTTTAATAACACGTATTAAACTCTGCAGTATTATTTTATACAATGTTACCATCGCTTTAATGAAAGGCCGCACTATGTATATTAATTCTTTAACACTTAGTTAAATGGGTCACCGCGTTAACCCCAAATTAAGTCTTCGGCTTTGTAGACAATACACATAGCTGATAGGTATAATATAATAATAATATGCAAACCATCCTGACGCACCCGAGTCGCTCGTCCGTTACCTACGCTTCCTTCGTCATTTCCTCTGTATAATAATTTATCAAATTAGTTTACCAAAAGACTGCTCTCAATAACAGAAACGACGGCGAATATTGTGTACTCTCTCAAATGGTATTATTTTTGACTAAAACCTATATAATAGTACTTAACTTTTCTTAACGATTCGACTGCTCGATAATATTTTCAGACGTGGATATAGGCATCTATTGAGAAGAAAATTATTTCGCTTAGGTGGGATCCTGTTGGTGTTTTTTTTATTTTTACAAATTTTCTTGACAATGATTGTTAAAATTTACAATTTACAGTTCTTAACAAAATATTTAATCGGTTGTAAAAAAATTACAACCACGCATTAAAATTGCACGAAAAACTATCGTGCCTCACCGTATAGTAATCCGATTTATAGAATTCTTTTTCTTTTCTCGAAGAAGAGAACTTACAGGGTCCACTAAATTTAGGGTTTTTGTATAATTCTATACAGACATTTCAAATGAAGTTATGGAAATGGTATTTTGCCATTTTGTAAATGCATGGTGTAAGTATCAAGAATGTGCCTTTTAGGGGTTTCAAGATTTTCGGTTATTGGGTGGGTGTCTATTGAATACAAATCAGAAATAACCCTTCTTCTCCTTCCCCTTTTTTCCAGCTATTTGGATTCAGTCACCACCCTCATCCTAAATTTTCATTTGACTCAATTTCTCATCTCGCAAACATCGGCTGTCCTAATATTATTCTCAATGCCATCCAACCACCTTTTTTTCGGTATTGTTCTTCTCCTCTTCCTTCCTACGATTATTTTCATTACCACCCCAGTCTACTTTCTCTCATTTTGTCTACCATCAAAACCAAGCCTATATTATCTCTAAATTCCTAATCCTTCTTCTTATTTTTATTCTTTTTCGTCACTCTACTCATCCGGTTAAGTGTTTACACCCCCGCTACACACGCAAAAAAAATATATTATAACGGCAACATGTCGACTGAGAAAAACTCGAATCTAGAGAAAGACCACTGCGGCTCATGTGATTTTTTTTTTTTAACATCAAAAATTACTGTAGAATGCAAAACATGATTTTCGCGGCATCGGACAAACCGAGAAATAACTCTGCAATTGCTGCAGTTCTTGGATGTTCGTGCGAAGGACGGCCGCGATTCATTCTTTTCGATAATAATAAATATTATTGCTATTGACAATGGACGCAATTATTGTATGTGTGTGTGTGTGTGTGTGTGTGTGTGTAGGGATGCAGACTTTTATAGTAACGTGATAGGAATGTCAAGGCTATATTATCACAGGAGAACCGCTAGCAACGTATTAAACGACCAATAATAATAAAAAAAAAAATTATGCTACCGCAGTCATTAGAAACTCTTGTTCGAACATCGCATCAACAGTATGGACTTAGGTATACTTAAGGGTTTACTTACCTTTTTGGTTGTTGTACAAAACAAAAAAGACACGATATGCTTGTGGGTAGGTCAGTGCGGCCGAAGGCGACCAACTTAAAAAGAAAAACACGCTCATTAGCAGCAGATCTCCGTTACTAAAGTTGAATTTTCTCCTATCCAACTTGTCGTCGTTGCAATATTTTATTATTATAAATTTATAACTGATCGAAAACAGTTATGATCACCAGAGTTGTATTACATTTAAGTTTGTAGGGTATTTAAAACCAGATATTTCTTATTGAAAAATGACATTTTAGCACAAAATGGCTGAGGTTGAAAGTTAAAAATCCCAAAAGACATATCATTGGTATTTTACACCATGCATACACACAATTTCGTTTGCTTCGTTTGGTCGGTAGGGGTGCACAAAGTTAAAAAGAAAACTCTCCTCCCCCAATGACATTGTGAAATTCATATTGAAAAATTCTATGAAAATTGTACGAATATCATAATAATATTAAATAACTTTAATTCTTTAGTTTGAGTTTATTTGGTACAGAGGACGCCCACTAAAAGAGTTCAAAAGTAGCGAAAATGTATATGAAAAGATGTATATGTATAACAGACACAAAATAGTGTATTATAGTCTGCAAGTAGATCAGATACAATTGTTTAACGTATTTCATAGTGAATTTGTGCTTAAAACGGTTATAAATTTAAAATTTTTGTTCCGTCCAGTATGAACGTTATTGGTTATTAAACCATTTTCGCGGGGCTAAAACGCTCAATTCGAATACACCGATAAATAATATAGTGTACAGTGTTTACTGCAAAAATGCTATACAAACACAATATTTTGTTTTCGTCGATTCAAGTTCACAACAGGTGTATATGAAGTACAAATACGCGCGTAATACAAATAAATACCGTTTAAGAGGACGTTGCACATGCATATTTTGTTGTTTCCGTCTTACAAACACAAGATATTGTAAAAACATTCTTACGCAGTCTACACGGAACTCGTTCAGTTTTGGTTTTGGTTTTTTACTTTTACTCTATTATAATTTCTTACTCTAAATGGCCGTACATTCCCCCACATAGCCTCCCGGCCCCGCAATCGCCCCATTATTTGGTTAATCTGCAATGTTTTGCCATGGGTATTAGACGTTCCAGTCACTGATAAGCGTATGAAAGTCTAGCGGCAACAGGCGATTCTGTATGATACCGATAAATTGCAACATAACGGCAATCTTCTCCGTGGGTTTTGTTTGATTTTTGATTGAGCGGCGCGCGCGTGAACACACGAAAAAAAAAATCAAAAAATGTCGTATATATTTTATTTTATCACACGGGTGTACAAAACCCGCGTGCGGCGTATCGAATTAATTATGTTTCGGACGTGCGGAAAGCCGACCTGGCGACCAGTGGGACAAGTGCAGATTATCGTTCGTACAGGCGTGCGCGGACTTTATCCACTAGTCGTGAAGCGATTAGCTGAAAAATAGGGCCCCGAAAAATAATCAAATATAGCCGTGTCCCCCCCCCCCAAAAAAAAATACAATTAAAAAACTGTCCTTGGATAACGGGGACGGACGCAGACACTGTTATAGGTAATTTAATGTATACTTGTAAGCAACGAAATTGCTAACCGTTGCTAACGAAAAACCAAATCTGACCGAAGTTCGGTCGATAGCGTTGGTTTATCGACAATACATACGTACATAGACGTGCCTACGGTAGCAGCATAGGGTGCCTGGACTGACCTTGCAATTTTCAAAAGGCACCGGTCAACCAAATTTTATCTGTAGTTGCTTAAAACTTTTATTAAAAGAAAAAAATTCTTATTCATTGTTTTCAGCATAATATTATTCTCTATCAGTCTATCGTTTTTTTTATTTTTCTATATACTAACACATTATAATTTTGGTAATTACTTGACTGTATGGTAGTGTAGTCCAAGCTTGAATAATATTTCTGTAGTTAAATTTAAATGTACTGAAAATATTGTACATTTTAATTGTAAATAGATAATACAGACTTTTTAAAATTATATAAATATTTAATTTGGGGGGACTAACCTTCCCCCACTATTTAAAGCGAATTTTTTCGGTTCATTAAGCGGCGCCAGTCGTTAGATTAGCTGCCGCTACGGACGAAGTCTAGTCACGCCCACGAATACGTATGTCATATTACGGTAAAATAATTGCATACGCATTATATATTCTGTTTAATAAGAAGTATTCGTCTAATATTGTACCTATTTTCCCATTTATTGGGAGAACTCCTTGGAAAATTAAAAGATGACCTCTATAAAGTACCTGCTCAGTCAGATTTTCTTTTAGACAAAGTGCTATCATTGTAAACCGGAGAAAAATTGCTAATAGTGAAGTTGTCTACAGAAAACAAAATAAATAAACATCGTTGTAAAACCATAAGCTTCTTCGCTCCAAATACGAGTTGCGGCCCGGATTTATAAGATAGACGTACGAATTGCGGCCACATAATAATAACCACTTCATACCAGTCTGTTAACGTTACATCAAGAAGAGAGCTTTTGTTTCGGATTGAATTTCAAGTAAAACGTCAACAAAGTTACAGGACGTGTTAGGACGGCTTGTGTAAAATGAAGTGTTTAGTATTGTTTATCGTCAGCCGTTATATTTCAGATTAGATACCAGTTTCAATCTGATACGTTATAATTAATAACAAAGTATAATTTAGCTATATCAGTGACAAAGTTTCTTAGATAAAAAGAGCTGCTCGGGCCGTACAGCCAAAATGTTTGCCGGGCCGGGATTCACCGGTCTCGACATCGAAAATAACGAGCCGGGCCGCAACTATCGCCTACAGCCTTCGGGATTACTCGTGGTGTGAAAGTCGACTATCTATATTAAGTTGTCTTACATTATACACCTATCTGTGGCGGACGTATTATTATGGTACATTCCGGTAAATTTAAAATTTACCGCATTCCGTCAGTAATAACGTTATAATATTAGTATCTCTGGATAACTGTCCGCCGCGTTGACAGTGCGACGGTGATCTATTTAAACCGTGTCGAATTAATTGATTGCTGAGCGACAGCGACTATAATGAAATGTAATAATATTGTTATTAACCGTATATTGTCTTACGCGCGTAACCGGTAACGCGGTTACCGGCATATTATATTGTATAGGTATCGGCGATGTACCTGCTCGGAATGGGTACATAAACACGTATATAATGATATTGTTAACTGACGCCGTTTCGATTCGCCGTATGTTGTACATTGTGACACACGCGCATAATATTATACGCATTTTAATGACATTATGCGTGCCGAGTGTTATGCGTTTATAATAACAATGATAACAAGTACCGAAATGCTGCAGTATAAATAATAGTCTGACACCAGACTTGTAAACAAAATCTGACTGGACTGGAGGAGAGGAATCCAGGCGGTCTGGTCTAAAATGTATGTCCCGAGGCTTGACTGAAAATCAGTATCTAAAGAAAAATGTGATTATAAAAAAAAAACAACGAGAACACGAGAACGATGTTTTGAATGTTGCATACAATTTCCGAGAAACAAAAGAAATTTGATCCACGTAAAACTAAAAAAAAATTAAAAATAGACATTTTAAAATACCTAGGTATAAATAACTAAAACGCCAGTAGTGTTGGCTATCCTCACTAAAATATATATTTCCCACACACCTTCATAAGATATAATATAAGCGATATTTACTAGAACACTAGAAAACATAAAACCGGGAGAAAAATCAACTCCATCGTAATACACTTGTTAAACACTTAATAAAGTACTGCTAAAATCATTATACCAACCGACTCATCTGCCCCCGTACCAATACTTAGCAATATTTAGATCATGAGATAGCCACCACTGAACACCAGAATATTTTTAAAATTACACCACATCTAGAAATGTTTAGATACTTTACACTTATTTTTAGGTTAAACTCTCTTGATTTGCCAAAAAAAAAAAAAAACAAAAAAAATGAAATATAATTTTGGCCCATCACTATTTGTATAAAAGACACTTTTCAAAAGTATTTTTTGTACGAATACTATGAAAAATGATGTCATTTAAAAGTTATTCAGCATGCATTTTTGAGTACTAATACAGATGTCGTTTTTGAAAATAATTTTCAAATATTTTTAGATTTGGACGGTAGCGAAGAATGATAAGAAATGTATTGGTTTTACAATGATTTTTCTTATTTTTATCTGTAAACAAATTTTCTAACAGACAGCTTGTTCCGATTTTCAAGTATATTACCTTTTCTGAAAGGAAATTGCACCTGAGTGGTACGCTAAGGAGGTTATTGATTTTCCAATTTTCCAAGTGATTTTCATAGTAACAGGGAAAAACGGGAAAATTTACTCGGATGTATGAAAAAAAATTTCGCTCCAAATCCTTTTTTTTTTGTTAAAAATGGATTATCGTTGCGTACAGATATAAATTAAATTACCTTCTATATCATACCGCCCATCGTGCGGAGTGCGTCCGTCTTTTTTATTTACATATTACTATACCATAAGTAGAGTCATTGATATTCTGTTTTTTTTTTTTTTACGTAATACCGGTAAAACTAAAAATGTTGAATCAACTTAACTTTTAACAATGCGATATTGCGCGATGCGCGTTTAAACTCGTTATACGATTAACATGGAAAACAAAAATTCATGAAAAACATAAAAGCGTTTGAAACAAGTGTGTTCGACACCAAACGCAAATACTGTTTGTATTTATTCCCGATCGAACATTTTACGAGTCTAATAACTTATAGGCGGGCACGTGTGCAGGCGCGTTCCGACGCACGGTGGCGTTTGACGCGATTTATGTCCCGATGTTGACGCAAGGGATGCGTGTGTGACGGCGGCGCGCAAAGTTCGCGGGGTCGACGGGTTAACCCGCGGTCGGGCCTCGGAGTTGCTATAACCGAACTGCTGCGGCAGACGAGACGTGCAGGTACATTATTACCATCGCCGCGGCACCGCCCATCAGACCCTTCGGCCGAGAAACGACCGCGGTGTTTCCCCTTAAATCTCCTCCAGTTCCCGCAATCAGATACGCATTATCCGCGGCCCTTTTATTATAATATATATTGGGTACAACGCGCCGCCGCCGTCAGCGCATAAATCAATCGCGGAGACACATTCAAACGAGCATGATCCGCACGCCGGGTTGACCGCGCCTATCACGATAAATACTCTCTGTTGTACACTCCGTATTACTTCTACTGATCTTTGCGCCATTTCCTTCAAGTGATTGATTCGCCATTCCTCACGCTAATTGTTAACTTCTTACAGATTTTCTCCCGTCAAAATTGTACCGTCTGCAAACATCGTACGCCGCGGAATCTCACCTCATATTCCCTCTGTAACAGAAGAAAATAGGTATCGACTGTCGAAAATGCCTATTTGAAATTATCTATTGCACTCGAAACCTTTAAGGCTTTAATCACTATTGAACTGCTGACTTCGATGAACTATTTCCTATCAAGTTACTACCGCGGATCTCGTTGTAAACATTCATTTGTAACTAATAATTCAACTTTCCAAACTGATGTTTTAAATGTGGTGTTAATGGGGGACAACAAATACATTGTATGTACACGGATTTTAATTAGACATTCGGTAAAGTTAATCATACGCTTTTGTTACTAAACTAAATTAAATTGTTATGGTGAATTTTCAAAGCGGGCTGAGTCTTATTTATATCGTCGTGCGCAACAAGTTAAATTATCGTATACTTTATTTGGGGATTTTATGGCTTACTCTGGGGTACCTCAAAGCTCTTAATTGGGTTCGTTATTATTCCTAATCGTCATTAATGTTTTTATAACACGTGCAATTTCGCCTTAAATTTACCTTCTTTGATAATGGTATTAATGTTTTACTGTTTGCTGATGATACAAAAATATTTGTTCTACGAAAAATTGTATATTTTTACATACAAATTTAAATCGTTTTGTCGATTGGAGTATATTAAACTGCTATCCTTATGCATATTAATACATGCAGCATAATATTATGTGTTCGTTATAATAGCCATATCATATCTAGTATTCAGTTGGGGATAATGTCTACCATTAGTGATTTGAGTTTTTTTTTTTTTAAGTCTGATTTTACGTTTAATTTTAATTTTAAGATAATTATCAAAAAAGCCTTCAAATGTTTGTTTTTTTTTTTTTTTTTAATAGAAGTGCTGTTCAATTTAATTACACATTTTGTTTAAAATCGCTTTACTGTTCCTATAGAATTCGGTTCATACATTTGGTTTCCAAACTATGCAGTTTATAACTGAAAATGTATTGTTTAAATGTTTAAAATCCTTGGCTTTTGAAATCAACCTACCTATCTCTAAGGATTTGTATTCTTTGATTACGAACTCAATTGGCTTTGACATGTGTGAAATTAGGCACAAAGTTGCTGATTTAATGCTTATTTATGACCCCATCAACTATAATATTATTTATTCAGATTTATTATTTCAAGTTTGATTACTTGATACTTCCAGTGTATTTAACGAGATAAACAGTATTGTTTTTGTACCTAAATATAAAACTAACTTAGCAGCTAGAACTTTTTTCTTTGAAGCCGTATATTTGGTAAACTCTGTGTGTGTTCACTTTTTTGATATGTCTTGTGATCGATCTAAGTATGTTGTTTTTTACATGTTCGTGTGGCGCTATGAATCCCGAATGCCTGGATGTACTATATTCTGCCCTAGTCCGCTCTGTCCTTGATTTCGGTTCGGTGATATAAAACCCCAAACAAGGAGTTAATAAAATTGGAAAAGTCTAAAGACAATTCGTACGTATCGTCTATTGCTTTCAAGTTACACTTGGCTGGTAAATTAATTTCTACCGTTGAGATTAGTTGTGGTCTTACACATCTCGGCGTGATTATAATGTTATTTTATTTCTCGACAAATTGATAAACGGTAAAGTAGAATGGCCCGAGTTGCTAAACAAGATTAATTCTGACGTTTCACCGATGAACACTCGAACTAAAAATACGTTTCACATTGAAACGCGTGAATAAAATTGTGTCCCAAATAATCCTATAAAACGCATTGTAAATTGTTGTAACAATAAACATTTAAATAATTTCGATTTTTCTTTGATAAAGGAAATTCAGTAAGCCACTATTGTACTAAACTTGCGAACCGGGTTGTATATATTAATACTTGTCTTATTATCCTGTACTCTCTGCGCGCCGGGCGTTAATAATCAACGAATAAACAAATATTTTTATTACGCGTCGAACAGTTTCAAATTGGCTACGAATTCGACGCAGTCATCTTTGTGCGTGTGTGGTTCTCGCCGTTTTTCTGAAAACCGTTGCTTTCCGAATACGTTAGAAACACATTTGTGTTAAGTTTCAAATATTTTTCATGCTATCGCGTAACCGTGAATATTTCGCGGACTAGTCAACATAAAATTCGACCTCTCGGTGTGATACAACGATATACGGTAGCCAAGCTTTAGATTTACTCGTAGAGCCGACCACTATAGCCGCTTACATTCGTATTTTAAAAATAACATTATAACACCTGTATCGGCGGTTATGAGATTATCGGAAAAAAAAAATTTAGAAATGTTTTTTTATCGCGTTGCGAATACTTAACGCCTCGGTGTACGTAACGTAATGCGAAATTCCGGTACTGTTTATCGAATCGGACGCGGGTATGATATTTTATTTCATTGATATTATTATTATTTTATTTGTAATCGTTTTGTTGACGGCGGTTAGGTTACGTTACGTGGGTAAATTCGACAAACACACACACACACACACACGCGCGCGCGCTCTGTACACACAATAGACGCGTTTAAAGGTACCTACCATACATAATCAATGTAACCGCGATGGTTATGTTAATAAACACATCTAAATTCTAAACGAATAGCGTATACCGCGATTATAATAATATATGTCATCGCGCGATGGCGCGGCACGGGAGATTATAATAATACGAGAAAAGGAGCGACGGGGCACGTCGTATAGGTAAATACCGTACACGCAGGTATCCGTCGACAACGACAAAGATAAGAAGTGTACACAATAATAATATAATAAGTACTGAATAGTATTAGGACAAAAAAAAAAAAAAACTCGAATTTCGACACCCGGTTTTTATCCTTTAGTGTACACAACGCGGGAATACTATAATAAGCCGGTGTTTTGTTAAAACACGGATCAAATGGATCATCCGCGGGCCGTTATGCGCGCACGTCATTACGACCCCGACGTGTAATAACGACACGCTATAGAATGCTGCGTGTGTGCATGTATTCAGCTATACAATGACGTGTAATTTTCTGACATATGGCCCAAGGTGTTTTTTTTTTTTCAATCACACCGCGAACTACCCTGACAACATAAAAAAAAAAAAATTCCCATTCAACAGAGTCCTCTTTCACCGGATTGTATGCATACCTATTCTATATATATGTACTCGGGGAACCTGTCAGCGCCATCCACACTAATTTTCATTTTAACCACAGCGCGGGTTTTTTTTTTTTTCACTATCCCGTATTACAATATGAATTCACGTGAATAACGAGATCTCTAATTAATTCATATTATGACGTCGTCGTCGTCGTCGTCGTGGTCGTTGTCGGCAGCAAAGGGACGCTATTTATTTTTTAACCTCATCCCCATTCAGACCGCATTATGCGTTATAATAATAAAATACAGGGAACAGTTTGTGAGCGTTCATTACCACGCTTAGGCAGCTATATAGCCGAGAGAGGAGATGTCAACGTCAAAATCACGGTCGTATCCAAACTGGTTTACCCTGTATTTGCATAATACGCGTGACGTTAATGTGCGCAAATTCCTAATAAATTACCATAATTTTTGGTAAAAACAAGACAGACTGGATCACTAAACAGAGCAACTCGTGATATTACGATCCTTGTATCAGGTTTCGAGAGCATGTTTGCGTAGCTGAAAATCGACAATTTCAATTATCTAGCTTTAATAATAGGTAATTAAAAAAAAGCAAACATATTTCGGTAATTATATGGACATTCCGACATTTGGCGTTAAACCCTTCAGGTATCGACGACTTCTTACTAACTCACAAAAATAAAAGCAAAAACAAAACACAAAAATTGATTATACATAAAAACTGGCGTTTATCGGAGTTTATCCCATGACGTATTATAATGTAGGCAAAGTATGAATGGTACTCGTGTTTTAAAAAACGATCTCCTCGATATACAAACCACGTGTATCCAAAATTCTAAAAAATCTCATATGAAATTTTTAATATTACCTATATTACATTTTGGAATGCATTTGCCAGTAAAAAAAAAAAAAAAAACGTACACACACACACAGATGTTTTGGCGTAAACCCGTCACCGTTACGGTTAATGTTCAAAGGACGTAACGAAAACTACGGTCCTACTTTAATATTCGTGTGTTATAGTATTGAATGAGATTAAACGAGTATACTCTGAGAATCATAATTACCGCAACGGACGCGTTTTGTTTTTCAGATTCTGTTTTAATAAGTTTGTCCCCTCCTTCCCCCGAAGAAAAAGATTTGCTTTTTGTCCGTTAAAAGTTCTAAATTTCAACGTATAACCTAAATTACTTACATGTGCGTACCCGCTACCGAATTTCCTATGTGGCGTATGCTGAGAACAGTGGCCCACGCATTGTGCGAAGCGTGCACTAATTAATTAGTGGACTGTGCGTGTTTCGTTTTTGCTCGAAAATCAAACGAAATCCGATAAGCATAAGGTGTATCCGAGAAAACAGAAAATTTTCTTGCGTTTTCCTTGAAAATCATAGATTTATCACTACGAATTCATACTAACCATTGTGAATTATCATAAATAATTGTATGGATAACGTATAAAATCGTAATTATATAAACTATTAAACATTTCATGAAAAAAACCAATAAATAATAATTTGTCTCTTTTCGAATACCCGTTTTTGCTATCGTTTGACAAATATTCGCTCAAGGCACGGTCCATTATAGTTTATAAGCCTATAAGGTGCGAAGTATGTCGGGCTTTCTACATTATGATTTTATATAGCACACGTTTAATTTCGTAATTTTAACGCTTTTAGAAACGCCGTAATTTTACATTCAAACAGTCGACGTTGTTTATGCGTCTATAGCTGACGAAACACTGAGATATTAAGGTTAAAAAAATCCGGGAAGCACAAATGCGCCCCCCGAAAAAATATTAAGCGAGAGACCGTTCGTGATTATTTATTAGTTTTTTTTTTTTTTTTTTGTCGGTTTACTATAACTATAATATAACGTCGGGTGGTATACGATAACAGTGCACACAATATTTTAGCCATGTTAATAGGGTGATTAAATGTGCGTATAAAACCGTATTCATTATAATAGTAATACGGTCTGCAACAGTATATATTATTATGCTGCTGCAGTATGGTATTTAGGTTTATTAAACTCTCGAGAGACTGTAATATTATAATACTCCGCGATGTGGAAATTATACGAGTCACGTGTCGCGCAGAGTGCCTAAAATCCCTTGTCTCGTTCATCGAGAGGGCGTACGCACCCTGTTCTCTGCACACAGTACATTATAATGTTATGTCTGAAACTTGTGTCGTATTATACGAGAGAAAAGAAAAAAATAATGATAATCTGATGTAATAGGCCATTATAATATTGTAAATTTCGTTAAGAGGATAGAGAGAGAGAGTGGGAGAGTAGCAGCAGTGTATTGTTTGAAGTATGCTTATATAATATCGAACAGTTTCGTATTTTTTTCATGTTTAGAACGTGCGCATAATATTATAATAATACAACGCCAGAAAACACGAAGGGATTAATAATATATTATTTTTTCTACGCCATGATCCACGCCACGCCATTCGTAGGTACTTTGAAACCGATTTGTACACACGAGGTTTATATAAAATATTTGAAAAGTTAATAATTTGTTACGCGAATTTCTCATTATTTTCCCCGGGATTATTAGCCACTAGTTGATTAAGCTACGGACTTGGCCCATCAACGTCATGGTACAAAGTTCTTAAACTTAAACCAATATGTTGCGAGTATAATGATCAAGTCTTGCAAGTTGTTGGAATTTGAAATTATTTCTTTTACCGGAATTGCTAAACACAATGGGATGATAGAATTTCGTAGTTGTCACAAAAGTATTTCTCTTGGTTTATAAAACTGTCCGGGTCAACCACAACAGGCTCTCGAGATTCTGAACTTTCATGTTGGTTCTGAATAAAAGGCTACACATGGCGGTTTCAGCCGTACCGTGATTTAACCACCTACTATCGTATACACTATAAAATAGCTAGTGTGTTTATAACGCAAACTTGTTTGTCGATTATAGAATCTATTACCGCGAAATGATTCGTTTGGGTAGATTACCGCACGCGACAGTGAAATGATGGATCAACTTCAAGAGGTATGCTAGAAAGCGACACGCGAAAAAAAGCCCACTCGGGATGCCCGATACTGAGATGGGGAAATGGGGTGAGAGAAGACGCTATTTGGAGCATCTGTGCAGCTAAAAAATGTATACTACACTACTATCTCCCCGTCTAAACTTAAGAGTGGAATATCTCGTGAACGAGATGACGGAAATCAAAAACACCAACATTTATTTTATCTAATATCCCATCTATTAATGGAATTTTTAATGTAGGTTCTTATTTGAAAAATCAAAGTCGGTATCGTCACACGGGCTTCTTAAATGTTTTGAAAAATCGAAGCATATGAAAATATCGTCTTCAACTACACTCAAAAATTCCAAAAATCAGAATTTAACCCTAAAACCGGGATGAGCATGCTTAATGAATCACCCTGTATATTCGCATTTACCTCATTTCCACACAAGGCCAGAGTTACAGACGAACGCCTAATGAACCAATACAAAGCCGCCGGGCATCTTGGCATCTTTTCATAGGAACACGTCAATCTCCGAGTTTTACAACAACATGTTTTGCCAAAAGCGCTTAGCGAACACTATCGGATGGAAGGTACGAAGGGACCCGCTGACCATACCTCAGCAAACGAGTCGTAAGCTACGCGATCACCTTGACGTTAGATTATATTGTGATTAAATTATATATATATAATAATATACAGTGACCCGTTTCACAGATTTATTAGATTAAAAAGAACATATGCCACGAATTATTATTTTTCAAATGAAACCGCATAATGTTTCTGTTCAAAATAGAGAACAGTTTTCATGTTTTACGTATATTATACTTTCATTATTAAGTTTATGTTTTTATCACGTTTATAAATAACGAATTCTCTATAGTATGTTTTACCATATTTGGTTGTAGAACAACCGTATTAAACCTAAAAACAGCAGTTGCGTTTTACCAAAAGGCTATGATGACATTGAGTCTAGGAAATAACGGTCAAATAAAAAAAACGGACACGGAAAAAATGGCCGTAGAAAAATATCGCCATGCACCGAAATGGTCAGTGAATAAAATGGTCAATGGAGAATTTCGGTTATGCCTACCTATAATTAAAATTGTTGAAAAGTATCGCGCCAAAAAAAAATGTATATAAATTGTATATACAACGAAATTTTATATATATATATTAAACATCTAAAATGTACAATTGAAATAAGTACTTATTGTTATTTACAAATGAGATTATTACCCGTTTTCATTATAAGACGCTCTCATAAGACGATAATCTTGTATTTTAGATAGCGCTTAATATTATTTTTGCAACGAGAATAAAATGATTAGAATATACGTCAGGGTTTACGTTTAAAGTTAATTAATAACTTATTTAGAGTAGCAAACGATCACGTCTCATGTATAGGTTCATCTATATGGTTTATTATAATTGGTAATAGTGACCAAATTCTCGTTAGTAATAATCTTGCGTCCATCTCGCAACATCTTCCCATTCAAAGCGAGAGCCGTGATTAGGGATTTATAATATACCATGTGTAAAAATGGATTTTCACTTAGTCAAGCACGTCCAGCGAGTTCGAATTTTCTACGTTTGATTGTATCCAATAGATGCGGTTTCTACGAGAATTTCTCTAGCTCGTTCATTTTTTCTTGTTCTCCATTCAACCTCCTCTTTCACTGAACGTTACGTGGACTGAATTTTATTAAACAAATTTATTCAAATATCGGACATTTTAAATCGAAATGATTTAAACTTTAAATTATTATACGAATAATATCATTTTAGAAATTATAATATGGTACGTATTTTAAAGTTTTACTTAAATAACATAATGAGGCGCGTAGAAACGTATCGAACCGTATTGGCCCAACCCACGAACGTGGATTTTTACAACACAGGCACTCAAAAGTTTTACTTTTTTTCATTAATTTGGTTCATTTAAATTAACCGACTCAAAGGAAACCAAAAGTATTATAGACTGTATAGAACAATCATTTATATAAATAATGAAATAATAAATAAAAACAAAATTATTGAAATGGTTGTTAATGCTCGTAAATAAATATATAAATAAAAAAATTTAAATATAAAAATAAAAATAATTACATTTTGTATTTATTTTGTTTAATTTACCGGCATTGAAGTTGTATACGTTTTTAATATCATGTGAATTTATATTATGTAATGTTTGAGGTTATCCAGTATAGGTACTTGTAAATTAAAATCAAAAAGTAATACATTTTAAAAATTATAAAAATATAATTATAGTCATATAGGCAATACATTTAGACACTTTATGATTTATCTTTTGAAAGATTTTAAACGTAAATTATTTTTGTAGGCGTGTTGCAAGTAAACCGTGATAGATAAATTATCTAACCAAAGCGTATTATTTTTCTATTCGACGTAATTATCCATTTCATTCGTGATGTGTAAACATCACGATAATAATATTTCCTATTTGTTATTTTTAAAATTGTAAGAATAGTCTGATGAAATCACCACGATACTACGGACAATAACCAACTTAATAATTGACAATTGGATCCAACACCCCTCCCCTCCATTCGGGAATATTGGCCCGAGAACAATATATTTTTGTTTTCGCGTCTGTGTTAAAAAGAGCAAACGGTTGCGATTCTACAATCGCAAACCCAAACAGTTCTACGCAACGATTGGACAAACTAAAAAAAAAAAAAATCCACCGGAAAAATCGCCAGATAAAATAACACGTAAAGAATCATTCTGTATAGTGTACACTAATATTTCGTATGTTATTCCGTCGGTTCTTTAGAGTTGATTTAGTGTGGACAATTTAGTCTGATAATTATTGTACTTATTACGTTCGCTTAATCGATAAAAATGACTCCATAATAAACGAACAAATAACTTTTTAAGCTTCCTAGTAACGCCAATTTATGCATTTACAGTAATCTACGCACGTCCCAATCGAGAGCGCATGAAGTGGCTGAATTACTTGGTAATCCGTCTGTGAGCCCCCGATATTAATAATTTGCGTTGAGTTTTTATTATCTGATGATACTCGTATTGTTCACTAATAACATTATCAGTGGCACTGTACGGAGTAAACCCTTCGGTCTGTGTATTTTTAGCCGTTGATTTCATAGCTGATAACATTACTATTATTATAATTATTTAAAAAACACACATGCAGGTTAGGTTAAGTTACTATGTAACCATATATATATTACGGTTTCAACGTGTTCAAACGAAATGTTAAAAACTGTTGCGCGCCACGTGTATCGAACTATAATACTGTATTTTAATTTGATACACGCACTTTACGCACGTGTACGATATACATGCACTTTTTTTTTATCTTCATAATAATAAATAAAAAACCACATAGGTAACCAATCTAATCTCGAAATATTAAAACTATAGATAGACGTGTAACAACGCGATACGCACAATATAATATTACCTTGTGTGTTGTATAATGTTATCTTTTCACAACGATATTATATAAATGAAATTAATCAGGTTTCTAGAAAATTAGAAATATAACGGTACAAGGTATTGGGCGTGCGCACATATTGTTACGTTATTATAGATAGATAAGCAACCGCGGTTGAAATATGTCGTTCGGTTAAAATGCGTGCCACTTAATTTACCGACCTGACGGCATATCGTACCGTTACACCCGTTAACCGCGTATCTATACACGTAAACGGCGTATTATATATTATTGTTTTCGCGTACGTTTCACGGTGTTTATAATAAACGGCGACAGAACAATCAGACTGTACGCGAGAACGAAAACGATAAGTTTCAGTAGGTGCCGCCTGTCTGTTGTCGGAGCCTGCACCCAATGCGCTTATTCTGGCGCGCAGGGCCGTCCGGATTCGTGCACGGTGTATCAATCGCCCCCACCCCCTTGACGTTTGTTTTCGGCCGCACGATTGCGCGGACTTTACATTTTTCGGGCGTACGGTTGCGCGCGGCGCCAGCGAACAACAATGAATGAATACGATTTCGACCCTTCAAAAGCTACCCGCGAAATTGGAAGCCGCGCCGCGCTTAAGATTATTATTATAGATATTATTACGATATTATTTAATTGGTAAATGATCGAGTTTTCAGCGGTATAGTGGTGAAGTTTGTTTCGTCTTTCAATGTATACGGTCTGTCTAACCGATCACGTGTCTTTATGCTCCAACGTGCCACTCGCGTTGTTCGCAAATTCAGATCGCATCAATTTTATCGACCGGGTAGATACGGAACTTCTGGCTTTCCGTTTAAACATTTCCCGTAAAATTTGTTTATTGATTTTATCGATCTGAATCAATTGAAGGGGAATTATGCTTCAATCGTATTTCTATAATTGAATTACACATCAACATTTACAGAGAAGCCGTACACCGTTTACCTGTATAGTAGGGTGTGTACGAATGGGACGTCGAAATCTGCGAGATTATTCACCGTGTATTCAATTTTACAATGTTGCGTAGAAATAAAAATTGTGTGTCGCGCGCAATCGTAATCCACCGATTTTTAGTATATATTATTACCAATTTGTTTAAATTAAATTTCTTTAAATTTTAGTGAGAAAAATAACAAATGTATTGGTACCTGGTTTATATATCAAAACAATCTTAACCTAAATACCTACATACTATTTGATTGTTTAAAAACAAAACCTATCCAAATCACGGCAATATAAAGGAGGTGAGATTAGTACTTAAATCGTATATAAACTAATAATAATCATAAGTAATGCCTAGTTATTCGATTTCAATGATAATTGTAGGCTGTGGATTAGATTGAACTATAAATTGTTTTTAAAAATTGCTGTTTTTTTTTTAGCCTGTTTACACGTTTTAAAATATGATTTCCTAACTCAATATCGCTCTACTTGGCAAAATCCAAACATATTCGAGTTATTCACTAGATCCGTTTAATAATGTCTACAAAAAGTAGGTACATGTTGTCTTTATTTTATAATTATTACTTACGAATTGAATTTATTTTAAAGTGAATTTATCTCGGCATTTCTCATATCGTATATTGTTTTGCTCGGTGTTTTATTATTTTTCTCTGTATTTTAACGCATAAAAAAAAACAAAAAAAAATACACGTCGGCTTCTTCACAAGAACATAGATAATAATATCAAATAATATGTTTTATAAATTTTATCATCATATAATAATAAGTACTTTTAAACTAAGCAACCAGATATAAGTCGGCGAATGATCTTATAAAAACCGTATTATTAATGTTTGATTGTAAATGAAAAAAAAAAAAACAAAAATTACATTATTCCGTATAAAATAATATAAAGATAACACTGCAGCAGTATTATGATTTTTAATATTCTTCAAATAAGATAAAAATATTTTCGGAATCAGTAAATATTCAAATCAATTTTATTTTTTATTTATTTATTATGGGATTATTTTTACAATAATATTATAATTACAATCGTTGAACAACTGTTAAAAATCTATTCGGTAGATTCATTTTTCTTTTTTTGCAATCGTTCTTGTTATTGTATTTTATATCCCTATTACACTCGAGTAAAAAAAAAAAAAAAATTAGGTACGTTCACTAAAAACAAATATTATTCGACGTAGAAATTATTTTGAATATCAATTGTTTTGTTTTATTATATTTTAATAAAGTCATTATATTTTACTTACTACGAGCCGAACGATGATATAAGATTATGTAATATTATAATAATTTATTACACTGCTTATTGGTGTTTTCGCGAGTTAAAAAGATTTAATGAAATGTAACTGTTTTTCTTCTTATAAACCGAACTTACAATTAAATCAACCATGCTCTATGGACATGATAATCCCCGTTGATCCTGTTAATATTATTAAAACGATTGCACCATACCTAAACGTTTTGTTTCAGTCATAAATACTACTCGTCAGTGAGCAAAGAATAGATGTTTTACTAAAGTATTTGGATTTTATACATTTCCTGATGTAGCTTGTTTGCTTGTTGATATAATTTGCATACAATTACACGTGATGAAATACATGTATCTGACGGATTTACACAAGGAATAACTTTTAAAACTCAATTACTTACCGATTTACTTCTTTAATATGAGATAATATTCTTGCAGTGCATATTTATTTTCAAATTTTTTTTTAACTACGCCGGTTTATTTATATCTGTAGAGGAAAGACGTGAATGCAATTCAATCTTTTGATAATATGACCAAAATTTAGTATAAATAAGTCTTTAAAATCTCAATCATGCGATTTTGATCTAGTAATTAAATCAACTAAGAAGTTTATAATTTGGGCGAAAGAAAAATTTCAAATAGATGTCTATTATGTTCAGTATGACCAAATAATTACCCGCTCGTTTTGATAAGCGTTATGTTGAGAACGAACAATTATTTGTTATTTTGATCCACAATATTTTAACAATGGTAATAATTTATCAAATTTAGCATTCGATTTCTGAAGTAAAAAACTATATACATTTAAATAGAAAAAATTGCTGCTGCAATATGAATATCCAACCGGACATGATGAGTACATTATGTAAAAGCCGGAATTAAAAAAGTGAACTTGTATTGGCTGAAATATATAATTTCTGGGTAAAAATACTAAACAAATATTCTTAGAGGTTATAATTTTAAACCGTGGGAGGAGGGGGGATATCTCTTGTGCACTGAACCGGATACCGTCCGCGTGATTGGCAAAAAATTACCCGGGCTAGAATTTTAGTTGAAAAACCAAATTTTCTCCATAAAAAGTATGGGTATATTAAAATGGACTGTGAAATTGACCTACCGGCTACATCCTTCCGACGGTTATAATATGAACCAAACCCGTTATTGCAGGCTGCAAGATCGCGATAAAAAATATCTCCCCGTATAGATACTAATATTATAATGCGGTAAAAGTGTGATGGGAATTTTATTATAATTATCAAATTTCGGAAAATACATGTTATTATACTCGTTAGACTCGTCGTCGTATATATTTTGTTGGCGAGGGGTTAGTGTACATATATATTGTCTAGTACTACGAGTTTAAATTATTAATACCGCGATTTATCAAGCCGGTGTCGCCGTCACCACGAGATCTGTGGGATATAGTTGATGGCGTAATTTTTTTACTTTTTTTTAATGAAATCGTATACCACCGGGAACAAAGTATAAAGTCTCACTCCGTCTCTTTCTTTCTCTCTCTCTCTCTGTCTCTCTATCTCTCTCTCGTGATGACAACAATATAACGTTATATTATATCATTATATTATACGCGCACTTTCTTTCTTTATTCTCGTATACTATTATAGCGATGGCTGCTGCTGCTGCTGCTCGCGAAACAATTTCAAAACTAAACATATGGCGCGATGACAAATAACGCGATACGATCCGCGCGCGCGGGTCTCATTTATTCGCGCGCCGCGACTTTGTCCCATTAATCTATACGGGAGAACGTCTTCACGTCGCCGTCGTTCCGGTACATTTGTTGGCTGAAAGAGACGGAGAGAGGAGCGAGAAGACGAACGACCCCGCGATCGGCGTGCTCTGCACGCGATATATATAACGGACGTCTATAAACGACAGGAAACGTATCGCGTATATACACATAACTAATATCGTTTCGTACTAAAAAAAAAAAAAAAAAAACCCCAAATAAAAACCGACTTCTTCCTCTTCGCGGTTTTCTCCCTTGTAACAACAATTGCGTTCGGATCGCATCGTGCAAGACGCGAAATAAAAATTACGCGCCAAACGTTCGTAAAATATAAATATAATTCCCAATATCATCTCCAAGGTTATGACGGGGAAAATAAACTGTCAGGCACAACACAATTTTTTTTTTTTTTTTCATGTATATATCAAGTGATTTACATGCCTATATCATTTGATCCTCACTGGGGAAATTCAAGCCAAGTTTGCACGTCCAAACTCTATTGCAAAGTTGTAAAACCTTATTTGGTATAATAGGGAGCGCTGCTGCCCGTACTCAATCTAATTGATTGTACTTTTATCCATAGTATAATATACTCTAACCGAGATTAAAACGACAACTTGTATCATCTTAATGTAGGAAGGACAATATAAATCATAGAATTTCTTATTCGAGTTATATTAAATAGTTTTTAATGATAAATTTAAGTTTGAACTGTATACACGGCTCACAATTTGGACATTTTTTTTAACAACCTTCATAACACACATCACCTTAGCCTCCTTTCGCCATTTCCACTCTTACTCCACACGCCATCATATCTCCCTGTACTCTGTATAATATAATAATATCCTCTAGCCACTTTTTCATTTGTTTACCATTTTTCCCGCCCACTCTTGGTTTCCGCCAACAGAACTTATCTCGGTTGCATATCTTATTGTTGACTGTACTATAGTTTCTCCTTCTACTCCGCATATCAATCAATTATCTCTCGCAACTTTCCAGTTGAATACTTTGTACTCCTATACATAGACTACACTAAAAAAAAAAAAAAAAAATTTAAAAAAATGATAATATCCGGTCTCAGAATATTATTATAAGATATAGTTCAAATCGAGGTACGACGTCATGCCCGTCCTTGGTATTTTGTGTCAGCGGGGGCTCACCACCTACCGATTTGACGGTATATCTAATAAAACAATAATTATCATATATATTAATATACATTAATGCCGCCGCTCAAAACATATACATTTTTCCCATAAATAACCGCCTGGTAAATTATAAAATATTAACTTATATTATACCACATGCGATAACGATATAAACGGTATAAATCGCAATCGCCACTTCCGCCGCTATCCGTGACTTGTAGTTAGACTACGGAAATGAGGATGGAATATTCGAAATGCGATATTATTATACACCGCTCGAATGAAATATCGAAAAAATATATGTGCTGACAATGAGTAGTTGTCCGTTGGACGGGAGTCTTTTCCGTATCTATTATACGTTGCTGTTGACAGCTTAACAAAAAGGCCAATATAATTTGAAAATAATAAATTGCCTCCCCCCCTCTCCTCTGTATTATTGATGGCGGGCGTCGTTAGAACATTTTTTCGGTTTAAAGACTATTTTAGAGCTGGACTACCGTTATTGGAACTCTGAAAACTCTCAATTTATTTGCTATATTATCCATAAGAAAGAAAAATGCCGCAAGTGCTACTGTGACGTTTTCTTAAAGATGTGAACAAATACCTGATTCGTCGGGGAACCGCTGTCGGGGAACTGAAAATTCGTCGGGGAACCGCTGGAAATGTCGATGAATATTTTAAACAAAACACCATATCTCGTAAGAAAAATTCGCGATATGGGAGTTGAGGTATGGGAGGGAGATCACGCGTACAGGTATAGGTATACACGCCGTATAATACTATGACGTATATGCTTGTATATTACTATAAAATGATCGCTTCCAGTGCGCGTTAGTTGGCTCTTAAAACACGTATATTATTATTTCACTTACGCCCGGTCCGGTTCGAAATCCGGATTAAGACGACGACGGGAATCTGACGGTGCGCGTTAAGCGATTCATAAAAGCCGTTTCGTGCAGCGGTCTCTCGTATCAGCGGCCGCGACCATTTGTCAGACATAAACTAGATTAATTTACACCGTGTATACCCGCCTATATTAGGCATAAAATATGTGCGAGTGTATTTTATACACACTAATAGAATATAAATTATATTGCGATATACAGGTATACGGTGTTATAATAGGCGGGGCGGGTTTATCGGGATTTTACACAACTACTCGCTTATACTACATCGTTATGGGTACCTACCCGAGCGTCGAATATAAGATAATCCACGGCGTGTGTGTGTGTGTGTGTTTCTTTTTTTTTTATTTTTTATTTATGCGCTTCAAAGTGATACTTATCGCGTTATAGAGAGTTTTAAAAGTAAATACGTATATATAAATAATTTTTTTTTTCTTCTGAAAAAACGGTAATAATCGTAAATTATATTGATGCCCGCCGCACACGCACACGCGTCTTATATTATAGGTACCTATATAATATGTATATGTATATATATATAGATAGATAGATAGATAGGTATACCTATAATATGTTATATTCACGACTTGTATAATTAGAGGTGACTATATTATTGACTCGCCCGATATTCCCCTCTTCTATTATTTTCGTTTTTTATTTTTCTCGATAAAGTAGCCGGTTTCAGCTGCTCTGTGGGAATAAAATATTATTTTATAAACTAAAAAAAATACAATTATAATAATATATGTGTATATATATAGTGGGACGGCTAATAAATAAAGAAATACCTATAAAACTCGCGAGTTATGTACGTATAGGAATAAATCAATTTCTTTTATATGGAAAGTATAATATAATATACTGTTGTATAACTTTAACATAAATAAATTTAGCTGAACCGTTAAAAAGTTAATGGTAATTTTATTATTTATTAAAAAAAAAAAAAACAACTATGTACGTCATATTATTCTTTCGAAAATATTACTCCGCGATAATAATATAGTATGTTTATAACAATAACAAATGATGGGTGTTTTAGTCAACAGTCATCGTGTAAAATGAAACGAAAAGCCACCGCCACCGCCGCCAGTCGTTATATTTAAAAAAAAAAAAAAAAAACCAACAATATTATTATATTATTTACTCGACCGCGTCCGTCAAATATAATTAATACTTTCGATCGTTATAACAACCAATAATAACGGCTGTAGTTTATTTTCGGTATACGATTAGGGTTAGAAAAGTGATGCCCCATAAAACTCTGAAAATTCAACCAAAATTTAAAATAGTGAATCTATATAAAATGCAATTAATGCTCATTATAATTTAAAATTCGATTTGTAGATTTCGAAACCATGAAAATTTTCTAAAAAAAAAAAAACGAAGAAAATTACTTAAAAATCAAATATAGTTTGTTAAAAACTTGAAAGAAGTATTTGCGCAGGTATTTCGGAGTGTTTAACATGTATTTTTTGAAAGAAATCTCTTCATGCATACGTTAGAATTCCAACCAACATCAGCATTATCATATCTTAAGAAATGATAATATTTTATGTATAGAGGCATTAGAGGCATTATAGAGGCACCATAAAATACTTTTCACTCGGATCTTCAGTGTCTTTCTGCTTAGAAAATCAAATGCCAAATATTTATAAACGAACCGTATGTATTATTATTTTTTTTTTTTCAAGAAACCGCAAAAAAAAATAAAAAATTAAAAAAAAATCTAATATTAACAAACGAGTTTGCGGTTTACTATACAGAATATAATATATACTGATAAACGCATCGTATACACGGCGTACGTACATACTACAACGTGTTATTATCATTATTATGCTCGCGTGTATTATTATTAATATTATGTTAAAAAGCTTGAACGCGATGTATTTTGTACATAGGTATTATACATAGAGGTAAGTACGGGGAAAAAGTCGATTATTCGGATTGCTCGTGGTGAATACCCTTCGGGGTAAATATGATAATAATTCGGGTCTTCGACACGTCGTTTTTGTATTTTTTCGACCACGTATATAATATTATAGTCTCGTCCGCGAGGATAACAATATAATACTCGTATAATATTATAATGACGACGTGCGTAAGTATAATATAATAATATTCAACTTCTTATAATCACACGGTATCGACTATATATATATATATATTATATGTGTGTATAGGTAATAATGATATATACGGGAAAATGTGCCAGCCAGAGTGTACCTACTTATAATAGTAAAATATCACGTGAAGAATTCCAACGTTCTTATAATAATATATTGTAGACATTCGGCTATCCATCATCGGCCGTTGCTGTTATAACGTCACGATTATTATTAAGGTACCTATCTAATATTATGATGCCACTTGCCGTTCGTTCGTCGCGATTAACCGCCTCTACACTATAGTCGCTTCTGTTACGGGATAATAGCGTATTTTTGAACGTCACATTCACAATATAGCCTATATATCCATTATGTAAATCTATAGGTACCGTTTCGGGCGACGAAAACCGGCCGATTATTAGGGCCCAGCAGTATAATATACACCGTGATTCATTAGTTTCCGTTCGAATCGCTTTAACTCGGCATAACAGTCAATCCGTTAATCCGGTTTATCGCAAGATGGAGCAGCAGCCGCTGATGGAAATTAAAACTTCGCCGGTGTCTAAAAAAAAAAAAAAAAAAACCTAGCTACGTGAAAGATAAAGTTTCTGCGCCACCCTTACTCATACGGACCTGAACGACCCCAAAAGCAAGATTACAGTGGAAGGCGTGATGCCCGAGTTAAAATCAAAAACGTTTCTATAGAGTCTAGAGTTTATGTTTTAAGATCTAAATTTGTTTATATTAAAACCACGTTGAGTGATCAGAATAAAACAAGCTTATTATAACCTATCTATTTATTTGCATACATTTTCTCTAACTTGTCGGTCTCTGTATGCTGGATGTTTTCTTCATCTCGGTCCCCACAATTTTGAAATATCGAGAATCTACTGTAACAGGTGAAGTATTTAATTTATATTAATTCGCGACATAATAAATAAATAATTATACGTTTCGTGAATCGAACAACTTTATTGAGATCTAGATAGCTGTACACCGAATCTGGCACGTTTTTGGCAAGTAATTTTAGCATTTAAATGAACACAACTTTTATTCTTTTAATTTAATTACAAAGTTACTGATAAATTGTCTTCGCATAGATTTATATTATAAATATGTGTATAATTATTCTTATATTTATAGACATTTTAATATATATCGTTGTAAAACACTTTAAGTCTATAGGTACCGTTTGTAACACATTGTTTTATTTTAAAATGGGTATTTAACGGTAAAAATTTAGTCGCCCCTTCTTAATTTTTCCTTCTGAAACAACTGTCACGCTATACAATATAAATACACATGCCATTATGGGTATTTTAATTTATTACAACGTGTTAGGAATTCGCAGAAGTACTAAGCAAAAGGATACGGCTGGGCCGGACGTTTCTGGAGAACGGACGGCGTTGAAATATGGAAACCAGACGAACAAATTCTGAAAGGACGACCAACACAGTAGTGAACAGACCGAATCAGGGAAGACCTCAAGCTCCTGGGAATATGAGACGGAGAACAACTGGCTGAGGACAAGGAGGCGTGAGGAATTGTAACGGAAGCGGCAATGGGGCTTACAAGGCCTGGAATTGGGAAAAAAATGAATACTAATAAGTTTTATACCGCGTGTTGTTATACTCGATGTTTTATTAAAAGAAAACACGTCCGCGGACAAAATATAAATTACTACGACGACAACGACGCGATGATATTGTGATGTGTGTGCGTCGTATTCTATATTAGCTCCGGTTCGCGTGTGGATTCAAAAAGTCGAAAACATTTCTAGGAAAAAAAAAAAAAAAACACCGCGCTCACAAAGAGCACCGGCGCGATTATTATTATTATTTTACTACGGCGACGTAGAGTTATATACGAATCCGGAAACGAGCTGTCCAAACAAACATCACGCGCTCGCACGCGTTATAATATATTATTAAATCATTTTTAAAAAAAAAAAATAATAATTTTTTTTTTCCTTCTGTCGGGACAACAATAATAACACAATAATAATAGAGTATATGAAAGTCACTATATGCCGCCGTGCACGGTGATGTTTCGCTGCCACCGTAATAGTCCGTCCGTCAACGCCACTGACTGCCTATACCTACCGTGCGAGGTGCTCGCGCGTGACGGCGCACGGCAAACGATGTCAAACGTCGTCTGACGTGTGTAGGCCCGTGACGACGCCCGAAAACTACACGCAAAAGTAAACGCGGGGACCGATGTATTCCCGCGGGAACAATAGAAATATTACAATAATTATAGATTTGGCAATGTATAACGCCAAATGTCGAAAACCACCGAAAATCATCTTGGAAAAAAAAAAAAAATGTCAATAATCTCGTATCGGAAGTCTGTCCGCTAAACAAGTCCGTTACAGTTTTATTCCGATGAAACTTTGCACACTCTACGTACAAAAACAAAAATGAGGTCCCTATCTAGTTTTTATTTCGAAATTAAATTCCTCGAAGGCGCGGCTCACGTTTGATTTTTTTAATATTTTAATATGAAAATTGAATTTTATTTCGAGTAGATTCAACTTCAAGTTGGTAGATCAAGTTGGTTTTCACGGGCAAGGAAGTATGGTATTTTAAAAGATAAATTTCGGGGCAACAATGAATAACTGTGAGAAGGATAAGGATGGAAATGAAGAGAAAAACTGTAAACGTCTTTTATTGATTTATTGAAATCACAGCCCGTGATTGTCGACTTTGGCGCGTTCCCTACTCCCCACTCCCTCTTAAAAGTACAACCGTATAGTCGAAGTCCTAATTGGCCTAATTTTTACATTACTAACCTGGATCCGTTCTCAGAGTTGTTTAATTTTAACTATAGAGAAATAAACGAGTAAAAAATGATCATCAAGCGTCTCCAAAGCGAATTTTTCTGAGGCAGATAGTTACCCAGTTATTTAGATTCGCTTTTACAAAAACAATTCTATATCAGTATTTCCATATTTTCAGAAATCTACCTATGAGAAATCGATAAAGAAAAATGATAAAATCGTCAGAAACTCAAGTGCCCATCTTGTATATAAAAATCAAGCTTATTATAAAATAATATTTTCTTATTTCCAGAAAAAAATAAATCATTAAAAATGTTTTTATACAAACATTAAATATATTCAGTGATGCAGCAAGAAAAATATGACCTTTTTTTCTCGAACAATTATTGTTCTACGAAAAACGTTAAATAATATGTTACTACACACAGACGTATTTTGAACTTGATTATTTTATTATTTGTTTTTTTTCTTTAACGTCGTGTCATCGGTATGTTTATGAAGTTCTTAAATGCTTTGACAGGGCTTTTTTTTTCCCTCGGGGATCCATGCTGTGGCCTTTTTATCTTCCCTTCGTTCTTAATCTAATATATTGTTCTGAAAGTGCCGTGTTGCGTAAAAACGGCTCGTTAGAATGAATGTTAAGGTAAACAGGCATTTCTTACCGTGAATCATTTCTGTCTAAAAATATTTTTTCCTGGACAATGTTCACCAGTAATTCGATTGGTTATACACACATATTTTTTTTTTCTACATTATTATAATAATGTCATGTTTCACATTTCTGTAAAAACGTCAAGTTAAATCGGAAAAACTGTATTTACTTACCTACATAATAAATTATCTTTTTTCGCGGCGTTTATAGACTCGTAAGAGTTTTCACCGTCAACACGTTTTCGTTCGTTTTTGATCCTAGACATTAATTCTTCAACCGTGCACGGACTTTTAAACAATCTAAACCCTTTTCAACCGCATCCAACCTCCTATCTCGGGTTCCCGTCGAGGTCTTTTCCCCCTTGGTTTCTGATTCATAACGGTTTAATGACGATTTCACGGTCTTTACTCGTTACGTGTTCGAGTCATTATAAATATTAGTACCATAGTAACTTTTGACTGTTTATGAAGGGCAGTTCAGACCATTGTCAACGTCGGTATCCGATAAATTGGCAGCGACTGAAAATTGGTTGCGGAAAAAAAAATTATTTAGTCACATTTCCGTTTAGATATTTCTCTAGGCATAAAACACCTAGTTCCGGCCGCACAAAATGTGTTAATTAGCCGCGTAGTAGGCACCGCCGTTATAGATAACGTACATGGTTTCAGAGACGGTATTAATTTGCAGGTAGGATTGTAGAGTAAGATTGGAGACGTAGGTAGGAGCACCCAGGGGCGAACCTAGCCGGGGGGAGGGAGTATGGTGGTCATATATCCTCCACCCGCCCTCAATAATTGTTTTTTTTAACTTATCAGTTGGTTATTTTACATTTATGAAAAACTGAATAACTCTACATAATGGCCAACTGATAATCTGCATAAGATTGTGATAGTGATGTTGACTAGCATTATCTATTGTTGGAAAAATAAGTTAAAAGCTGTTATCAGTGGTGCGTCAGTATTAACAACAGTGCTGTGCAGCGATGAGGGGTATTATAAATCCCAATGTTAATGGTACCCGATGTTATGAACAGTCAATCGAACGTGGTTAACTTGATGACTTCTATAGTTCTGTATTTTATTTACAATAAAAATTGATGATTATGATATATTGTTATCTGTAATACCTACGTTTATTCGACATATATATAAGTATGATAATACTTGTCCAGTTTTAATGTATATGTATACAATTCTCCGGTCACAGGTGTTCGTTATTGAACTCCTCCCGAAACGGCTTGACCGATTTTCATGCAATTTCTCGTGTATATTCGGTAGGTCTGAGAATAGGCCGTATAGTATAGTACTTTTTTTTTTTTTTGTTGATTTATGTTACCCTGGTAACAGAGATGAATAACAAACATTGTGACCGGAGAATTGTATATATAAGATAAGGTGTTTGTTTATTCAAGGGTTGCCACGGAAAAGAAAACTATTATAATTATTACTATTTACACTATTCGAATTTCTCAATAAAACACATATAGTCCGCCGTAGGTGGACTACCCACTTTCCATTTATTCGTTTTCGTTCAATCCTAACACGGCCAAAACCAAAAATGAATATCGGTAAAATAATAATAATACAAATTGGCACGGGTAACGCCGGGCACGGGACAGCTAAAACAACAAACAATAAAAACTATTAAAAACAACAAAAACTATAAAAACAATAAATATTATTATTACTATTATTTACACTATTTTCTAGCAATAGCAAAGCATTGCCGGATCAGCTAGCTTCATAATATTCTGGCGATTTGAGCTATTAATTTATTATTTTGAGATTTTAATTTTACTATTTTTTTAAATAATTTTTATTTTTTAGGCACTCTGTAAATGTGTATAAGTGTAGGCTATATAATACTATCGAAGTATAAACATAAATTCCCGTATTATCTACATCCATATTTTAAGATGATATTTTCTAAAACGGTTTTATTACGGTGGGAATAACAGTAAAAGCGGTATAATATTATCCTACGCGATGTAACAATAACAATATGATTTGATATTTTTCAGGAGCTTTGCCGATCGTGGTGTCCATCGGATGTAAGAATTGCAGCGAAGCACAAATTAAATGCTTCAAAAAAGCGCTCACCTTCGTGAAGACGAAAAAAACGCCGGAATGGGTCCAAATGGTCGCATTGTACGATCCGACGGGAATAAATCTTCAGCAATTTCCTCAAAGATCACGAATGACGTTAAGTTAGGTTAGGTTAGAATCATCTTTTATAAAATATTATACGTTATCGATTTATAAAAAATTCGTATTCATTTTGTGTGTGTTTTTTTTTTTTTTGTAAAGTGTATACATTTTTTTCATTTTTACACGCCTCTTCGTATATAAGAACGTATTTTTGTACAACACGCAGAACTTTCAAACTACAGACTTTATATTTTTTACTGTACACTTTGAGCTCATAAAAACTTACTAGGCCATGTTGAGCGAGTGTAAACTGTGGGATAGGGTTAATGTTACAAAAAAGTAAAAATAATAATAATGTAATAATAAAAACCGATATCGCCTAATGTCAACTATAACTAGTAGGCGTGAAACGAATCAACAATATTTTTCTTTTCCTTTCGCACTTCATCTCAATTATTTGAACCTACTAATTCTAGTGTAAAATAATTATAAACAACTCAAACATATTTTCTGAATATTTTGAAAATTTTACCACGTCTAGAACGTCAGTTTTCTGTCAAAATGTTAAGTCTCTAAGAATATTTCAAATTGAATAGTAATAATAATAAAAAAAAACCGCATTATAATATAGTAAGACCGATCATAGATCTCTCGCTACGCTCGTAATTTAAAAAGTCGTTGCCCGTTTTCACACTTCTGTCCGTCTACTCATATTACTTATAATGAGTAAATAAAGGTCTCACATCGTCTGTTTTTTTTTTTTTAATTCAACCAAGTGTCACGGGCCTGTGGCTCGTCGCCTACCATGCCGTCGTACACCGGTGTACACCACCGCTTCCTGCACGAGGCGAAAAACAATCCGGTCTGAAATATGATAATGACAGTGTATATCGTCACGGCGTCGTTTCGTATAATCATTACGGAAAACTTCGCGGGGTCGAAACTGATCGCCGCGGTCGTAAGCGAAAAAACGCTCAGCGGCGGTGCGCGAACCTAACCGCGCGACCCGATTTCCCGGTCGTCAAAGGGTTGCGTACGTCCGGCACGTGATCGGCTCGACCGACCGCGACGGCGACGATCGATTGGGATTTTTCGTCGTCGTCGTCGTCGTCGTCCCGCGCGGTAACGGCGTGGCCCCCACACGGACGATGATGGATCGACGACGACGACGCGGCTTTCGACGGTTTTTGACTTCTTTATAAGCACGATTGAACCCGCTCGCGGTTGATATATCCGGCCATTATGTGTACGCAAACAGACATTTTTCCGGGCGTCCGAAAACGATGCCCGGGCGTATGCGGTGGGGAGGGGGGGTGGCGGTGAGGGTAGCGGAGGGGGCGCGGGTGTGGGGAGTAACGACGGGCGGCGCGGCAATCGGAGTAAACGACGGGAGTGTGTGAGCGTGCGTTCGTGCGTGTGAGAGACAGAGAGAGAGAGAGAGAGCGAGACAGAGAGAGAGTGAGAGAGAGAGCGAGTGAGTTGGAGAGAGGAAAGGGTTCGACACCTCGAGGGGGAGGGGGGCGATTCACGGATCGCGCGATGGATTCCTGGTCGCCGCGTCCGTCGATGGATGGGAAGAGGCGGAGAGGGGGCTAGGGGGAGGCGCGGGGACGGAGATGATGGATGACGGCTCCTGAAAGACGGTAAATGATTTATATTGAGTGCCGTACCGCGACGGACGGTCGGACGGCGGGAACATCTAAAAGAGTGCGAGTGCGACTGGCAGATATTATTATTATTATTATTATTATTGTGATGACGGACACGGAGGAGGGAGAGTGGGAAAGAACTCCCGAATGTATTTATATATATATATATACACGTACACTATATAATACGTGACATGGCAGGTCGAGCCCTCTGGCGGCCGCGACGTGGATTGATGAAGTTTGCCCGGTACGGCCGGAATAATGAGCCGGCGCGCACACACCTCTCCTCGGTCGCGCCCGCGCTACACCTCCCCGGGACCCCTGTATTCCCTCTTCCGGCGGGCGCTGTTCTCGTCTCTCTCTCACGTTGGCGACGGTTGCGGCGCGCACAGCGGCACCGTCGTCGACGTCCGCGCCTATATACGCGCGCGGCTTCGGGGCCGGCTCGCGATGACGGCGATTATATCGTAATAATTGTTTGTTGGTCCGCGCGCCGTGTGCCGTCGCTCCCGGCGCTCGGGCCGCAACCTCTCCGCCGCCGCCGCCGCCGCCGCCGCGGTATCCTCCGGCCGCGGTCATCCGTCTTCATCAAACGCGCGCCGTGCAGAGCCGGCCGACGCCGCAGCGCCCTTATCCCCACCACCCTAACCATCCCTCCCCGCGCGGGTAACGGTCATCTATCATCGGACGTGTCTGCGGAAAACCTCTCTCCCACTCTCTCACTCTCTCTCTCTCTCTAACGGCCACTATATACGTGTATACACTATACAGGGCGATTCATTGCGGGGAGATCCGAGTAAACGCAAAAACTTTGGTTCCGTCCGACAGTTTTCGCGTTTTGTAACGACGTTCAATTACAATATACGTATTAAGACCTCGCGATACACGCTTGAAACGTATACGATTTTTATTGTCTTATTTTCGCGATAGTTTTACTCCGAACTAACGTGTTTCTAACGCCGAAATCGCGTTTCCTTAATATATTTTATGCAATTACTTTCTCGAATCCGAGATAAAAAAAAAAAAAAAAAAAAACTACGATTTAATTTGCTGTATTTTCAGTATTAAAATAAATTGTAAAAAAGGCCGATAGGCTGCTTGTGCCACTGTTTTACGAGAAGGCCGGAATAGAGGACGGATTCGAAGATTAATTTAATTTATATCCGTAAGCCATCGCTAACGAAAATCGATTCTGAACAGATATAGCATCGGTGCCGTATTTACGGATGGAGATTAGTGAGATGTATCTACCTCCTCGACCTTATTTTTTTTTTTACTATCCATTATTTATGTGACTATAGCGACTACCTATTTAAAATTGAGTTCAAACGTATTTACTTATCGTTCGGAAAAATTGACAATTTAATGCGTTGGTACGTATTCGGTTAACATAGTATCGTACATACGTTTTCTTATTTACAACGAATCCTACTTCGGAATCGCTATAATACGTTGTAGAAGGTTAGATTACTACCTAAACAGTATTAAATTAATAATAATTACTTGCTAAGGTATACCTAGTTATTTTTATGCGGTTAATCTTAATTTGATCGCAGATTAAATTATAAATTACGAATAATATTGGGATTTTCTCAGACACGGCGAATAAAAAACCCGTTTTCAATCGTTTTTATCTCAATGTTAATATTTAAATATTTAATCATATTAAATTGTATTAATTATGCACTCGTGGTGCTTGCAACAACGTTTAATAATATCATATTATTATTTTATTCTCAATGAAAATAAATCCCGCGCGTGATTTGTAATGTCGTTAATAATTTTCGTTGCCGATTTCGACTATATTATTGTAATATTATACGCTATCGTTTTTTATCGGTTTATCTTTTACATTGCCCGCGGTTTTTAGCGAACAACCTTCGCCCGCGGAAGACTAAACGCCACGCCGTATTATTACGGGATATTCGAATATTTTCTCGCCTCTCGGTATCATAATAGGTACTTAATAATATTAGACGACGATTATATTATTTTTTTTCCCGCCGGTTTCCATATCATAAATCCGCGTATAATTACTAGGTATGTAATATGACGTTATACGCAATTTTATATTGAATTACACTCGTGTATGCTTCAATACACAAATATAATTAACTCTTATAATTAATTCGCAATATCTTTCGAAATCTCGTCAATATAATTATTCATGGCACCTGCATATAGTTACAGTTGTTGGAACACAATTACTAGATTACCTATTAGTTTTCGCACAGATATGCAATAAAACGTGTTCGGAGGGGCCTAGGGCGGGCATGGGCACCGGGCGTCACATTTCAAGGGAGTGCAACCAGTGGCGCCGAAACCAGCAGTCAACGGTGGTGACAGTCACCCTTCTTTTAACGGGTGGGTGGTGGTAAATCCTTGATGGTGCCTGAACTATATATTTTTTTATCGAAATGGAATATTAGTTTAGAGTGTTGTATGGGCATTTATTTTGCAGTAAACGTGGGTGGTGGTCTATACAACTGTTTACCTGCCTATATTCTTAGAACATGGTTCGACGCCACTGGGTGCAACAATTTTTTTACGACATGGTAACATAGATATTTTATAATGCGCGAATTGTACAGCACGAAATGTAAAATGTGCGTTTTAAAAAAAAATAATGCGTTCCTATAGGACGTTGAAAATGTAAACAAGTCTCTAAACTTTGTAGTTGTTAGTTTACTATAACACAGTATACACATTTAATCCGTAAATCTATAAAGAAACGGAATTAATGGCGGAGAAGAGTGAGTGATCACTGTTAGAAAAAGACTTGAACCCGTCGATACTTTACGTCACATACCCAGGAGAGAGGTAGATAGAGGAGGTGTTATCAATAAAAATAACTATATTGATAGAAATATATAGTTTCTAGTGTTTGTGTCATATGCCCAAGTGGCTTAGCGAAAAAGAAAATTCAGGGGGGATCGGTGTAAATTCACAATCATCTGGATCACTTAAAATTAAACAAAAAGCTTGTAAAAATTAAATTGTCTATTATTACTTGATTTTATCTGGCAAAAAGAACAATCAAAAATTGTCGTCGAAAGTATTTCGGGAGGAGGGGAGGGAGTTATAACTTTTAAAGTTCAAATTTTGATAGAAATAATAAAATATCATGGCGTTTCGTACTGTTTTCCAATTTTTTTTTTGACATAAGCAATTTAAAAGAAATTTTTTTCAACTTCAGATATGCGTAGCTATTTATACGTATAGGTACGGGATAACGACTATGTTAGATGCATTTCCTTTTGGAACAAGTAGTTTGACACGCTAGTGCTGTAACTTAGCACGTTGACCACCCGATACGGCGTTGACAGTTTCACGCAAACATACTCGATTCTTTATTATTTGCCGATT